TTATGATTTTCCTGGTGTTTGGTAAGACTGTGAGCTTTTTATAAGACCCTTGACATTTTGGCTATTATGTTAGGAGACTCTGGATCCTAATTAAATCTATTCTAGGAAGCAGTCACCCTATTTAGGTTTAACACACAGGTCCTAGCTTAAATTTATGGTCTGTTGTTCTAGTGAGAATTTGATCAGCTTGGTGCTATTTGGTCAGCTTGATTTGCCTAATTACACTGGGGATTGCGATAATTTCTACTGGTGACATTTGAGGAAGTAGAGGAGATTCCCCAGACCAGGCTGCTTGGTGGTCTAAGTGAGGTAAAAGATTCTCTAGCTCAGGGGAAGATAACTTCCAGAGCTTGGTACTTATAGAGGGATTCCCCTACTGCCAGAGCTGCTTATTCCCATTGTCTCTAGATGGAGAAGGGAAGTCTCAGGCCCTGTGGAGAAAGAGAGAGCAGTTTATGGCCACTTTGTTGTCAGTAAGGCTCCTGCTTTATTCTGCTTGCAGGTGACCTAATCTCTCCTGATATTCATGGAGGGACTCCCATTTAATAAGGGCTACAAATGATTTTACCTTGACTATTTCTGTTGTTAAGCTGTGATTAGAAGAAGCCGGGACAGGATCATCTTTTACTGTTGGCTGAGAAATTCCCTGTGCTGTTCCTCAGGTCCTGGTGTCCCTAACCAGTCCTCTTTCCTCTTTCTACCTCTCAGAGTACCTTTTAATTGCTTCTTACTTAATTCCAGATTTTATAGCTGCACTTAGTGAAGCACATAAATATAGTGACACTTTGTTCTGTGTTTTTTCCCCAAAATGGGTCAAGAGGAGCATAATTCAGCAAAATGGTAGGAGCTCTTCTGTGAAAACAAGTGTCCTGTGATAGAAACACTGATTTGAATGAAAAATTATATGAACATACGGCACAGTAGAGGCACCAACAAATAGAGCAAATTTAGAAGTCAAATAGTTTACAGATATTTTTCAGGTGAATGTCAGCTCAGGTTTAAATAAAGTTCAACAAGTGTCTGTCCTAAAGAGAGCTTTTAATATGCCAGTATTCTTTGTCAGTGTCTTGGAAAGCCTACAGCATTTATAGTTTCACGAATTTATCTATCCACAGAAGTGAACCCATTTGTTTATAGTTTTTCTTAATACTGGCATTCCATGAAAGACTTTGCAGAGGAAAGCTGTTTTTATCATCATCAACATCTACCTCATCCAAAGTATTGTACTAGATGTAATCATTTAATTAAAAAGTTATTTCTGAGAACATTAAGGAGCGGCACCTAATTCTACTTTGATTTTTAAAAATCTGATAAAATATTTCAATATATTTAAACCTTCCTTTAAAACTGTTCCGTGAAATAAGATTTAGATGTATGGCCAAAGAAGATATTTTTTGTATTGTGTTAAAAATAAGTAGTCTAAAAGTACTGACTGTTTCTGGTGTCTTTATTCACCTGTTCATTATTTTGTCTTTCTAGCTTTAAGAGACAATAGGATCGAGCTGGTTCGCGCTTCCTGGCATGAATTGAGTATCAGCGTCAGTGATGTGTCTCTATCCGATGAAGGACAGTACACCTGTTCTTTATTTACCATGCCTGTCAAAACTTCCAAGGCCTATCTCACCGTTCTGGGTAAGTACAAGGAACTAACACCATGTAATCACAAAACCAGAGAGATGTATACTGCTACAGCGATATAAGTCAACAGACAAAAAAATGTATTTTGAAGATTATATTAATAGATACAGTTTAATCCTTTTTCTGCCACATTATAACAAATGACATTTAAAAATCATTTAGTCACTTTCCACATTTTATAAGTGGACAGTGGGAGGTACAAAGATGACTGCCAGAAGACACACAGACATTTCGTTGCTCAGCTGGCAGCAGACACCAGTTTTCTTGGTTTCCAATTAAATTTTTTTTGTATCAAATTATCTGTATATTGTGTATATTCTGATCCTTTCATAAACTCACAGAATAATGAGCATAGTGAGTTCAACTTGTGTGCAATAGTGTACTCCTTCATTTTATCATGTAAGTCACCTGATGGGGGCCTTTCCAACCAACTTGTAGCTTTCAAATATGACCCTTTTGCGTATTTTAGTGCATTTAAATGACCTGACATTTCCATGTATCCTCTCTCCTTTAAATTTATATTTTCTAGCTTCCTAAATGAAGTGCATAATGTCACTTGTGCATGCAGCTTGTAGCTTCTTTGTGCTTTTATTCTGCAAATATTGGGCCATTTTCCCAGAGGTTAAAGTGACACAAAAAAGCAATACATTCATAGAGATTCTGAGGAAATAAAGTTGCAGCTCAGCTCTCTGTGATTCCACAGACGTCAGTGCCCCAATCAGCTGAAATTGCTGCAGTTCATTGAAACACACCTGTGTACTGAACAAGTTAGAGGAATTTGAAGATTGATTTTTTTTTTTTTTGTCCCTAGCTTGCCTTCCTTTTTAGATAGATAAAGGCACAATGTTGCATTTAAAAGGGCTATCCCATGCTGTTCTTTTGGGTGGGAATATTAAAGTTAATCCAGGTAGTGAATTGGTTTTGTGCATAGGATATGAAACATGTTTCTTTGCAAGTCTCACTGGGACTATTTTATAAAAATCTTCACAAGTTTGCCATTAAGGACAAAATAACCACTAAAATGGAGTATTTCAGGATAACAACTGCCTAAGGTTAATGCATTGTTCTGTAGAGAGCCAACTTGAGACACGAAGAATAGATGACTGCTGAATTCAGTTTATTAAATGGTGACATGACATAGATTTTTAGAAAAAGAAAAAGAGGTAACATAAAGGTGAAGACAAAAGAAAAAACAAAAGAAAACAAAAACAACAACAAAAAAACCTAGCCAGTTAATGGAAGTATGTTGATTTGCCTTTTATCTTTGTTGTTGTTTTTTGTTTGTTTTAATTTG